TTCCGCCGAGCCTTGAAAACCCATCTATTCCATGCGGCCGGCCTGGCATAGTTTTGATTGGGCTTTGCTAGGGGTTTTATATGGGGTATTTTAGAGCAGGCTTTTTATTCAATATTTATTGTGATTTTTATTATTGCCTGTTCACCGCCCTGAGTCCCGTAAGGGAGATAGGGCGGTATATAAATTTAAATAATAAATATATAAATAAATTTTAGGACAGTGAGCATGTTCCAAGCCAAACACCAGGAAATATAAGCCTCCCTGAATTCTACCTGAATGCAGGCAGTCCTCAGCTTATGACCACGAACGAGCCCAACATTTCTGTTGCTAAGCAAGACAGTTGTTAAGTGAGCTTTGATCCATCCTATGACCTTTCTTGCCACAGCTCTTAAGTGAATCACTGCAGTGGTTAAGTCAGTAACACAACTGTTAAGTGAATCTGACTTCCCCATTGACTTTGCTGGTCACAAGGTCGCAAAGATTCACCTGACCCCGGCACATTGCAACCATCGTAATTATGAGTGTCTGAATGTTGGTCCCGCAACCACGAGGATGCTACAAAGGTTGTCGGTGTGAAAAATGGTCACAAGTCATTTTTTACAGTGCTGTTGAACTTCGGATGGTCGCCAAATGAACTGTTGTAAGTCAAGGACTACCTGTACACACATACACAAACTGCCCACCTCCTGGTTTCTGTCCCATTCCACAAATTCAGGCTAATATAAGGAGAGACAAGCTTGGTTAGAAAATCTCTTTGTACTTACTGGGTGGTAGACTGCTGGGGATGTCATCATCTGATGGGAAAGAAATCCAAAGAGGCTTTTGTTAACTCCATGTTTTTCTCCCAAAACCTCTAGCCCTGAATATCCTTGCCCGCTGCTCCCTTTTTTCCCTTCGGAGTACTTACAGGAAGTTGTTGTGGTGACCCACATCCAGGGCCTGGCATCATACCCTAAAGGAGAGGAAGACAATAGTGGATGAGTTTGTGTGGCATATTCACCCAGGTCAGCTGAAGCCTTCATGGGTGCCTTTGTACCGCTTGCTCAACTCGGTTACTTTTAACTTGGATTGGTTCTGGAGAGATGCACGGGAATCTTCTAAGCCACGGGTGTCAAACCCGCCATGTCACATGATGTGTCGCGATGTATCGCGACTTTTTTTCACATTGCCGGAGTTGGGGATGGGCACGGCCTCTGCATGATGCAACAGGCCCACAGGCTGGCAGTTTGACACCCCTGTTCTAAGTCATTCTTGGAGTTGAGATCACACAACGTAAAGTTGCCAAGGTTGAGAAACTCTGCTTGATGAACCTCTGCAGGACCGTGGCCTGGGGTAAATTTGTTCCCAGTTCAGTTGCCGGGCCGAGGATGACCCTTGCTACCATGCAGAGATGTACACCATGTCAGTTGAGGACCCAGAAGGGGGAGGCCATTCTTAGGGGGGTCAAGAAGAATGATCAGAGAGGAGAAAGAGAATGTGGGATCGAACCAACCCAGAATCCATTCCCAAAGAGAGAGATCGAGGATCAGGAGGCGCCGACTTGTCAATACAAACACTTACCATGTTTCCCATCGTTGATCCTCCCATCACGGTCAGAGATTCCAGCTCCAGGTCTCCATCAGCGCTCACAACCTGCACGCTTTGTGGGGGGAGTCTGTGCCCGTAGCTACAGAAGGGGTTTCTGTCCACCAGGACCTGTCAGAGGGCAAAGCCAAAGGAATCGATGCTCAGTTGAGAGGATCCACTTTCTTTGAAGGAAAAAGCTGATTATTCTTGCCAGGAACACGTCCCACCCCAAAGCTGAGCAGAGTGGCCACCGAGGGGATTAAAAAGATCAAAAGTTGTACATGAAAAAAGGGGGAGGTCTTCGTTTTACCAATAACCTTTTCTCCCCCCAGACCAAAATGTGTTTTTTTTTCTTTAGCAACAGGTTGTTCTCATTTAGTGACTGTTTGCAGTTACAACCGTGATGAAATAGTAACTTCGCGACCCATCCTGGCTCTTACAAACTTCACAGGTCTGCAAAGCAAACAAAAGCTGCAGTCTGATCACAGACAGACACGTTTCCGCTTAGCAACCACTTCACTTAATGACCAAGCTTGCTGGTCCCAGTTATTGCTAAAGGAGAACTACCTATACAGAGAAGAGCAACAAAGATGATTAGAGGTCTGGAGGCTAGACCATATGAGAAACGGTTGCTGGAATTGGGTATGTCTAGTTTAATGAAGAGAAGGACGAGGGGGGACAGGATAGCAGTCTTCCAGTATCTCAGGGGCTGCCCCAAAGAAGAGGGAGTCAAGCTATTCTCCAAAGCGACTGAAGGCAGGACAAGAAGCAACGGGTGGAAACTCATCAAGGAGAGAAGCAACCTGGAACTAAGGATACATTTCCTGACAGTGAGGCCTATTAACCAGTGGAACAACCTGCCCCCAGAAGTGGTGAATGCTCCAACACTGGAAGTTCTTAAGAAGAGACTGGACAGCCATCTGTCTGAAATGGTATGTAGGGTTTCCTGCCTTAGCAGGGGGTTGGACTAGATGACCTCCAAGGTCCCTTCCAGCATTATTATTATTATTATTATTATTATTATTATTATTATTATTATTATTATTATTATTATTATTATTATTATTATTATTATTATGGATCATCGCACAGTCAGCCAGATGTTCAGACTGGATTTGGCATTTTGTCTACCTATCGAGTCCTTACTCAGGACCTGGGATGATGATGATGATGATAATAATAATAGTAAAGTTGGAAGGGACCTTGAAGGTCATCTAGTCCAACCCCCTGCTCAGGCAGGAAACCCTATACCATTTCGAACAAATGGCTGTCCAGTCTCTTCTTAAAAACGTCCACTGATGATGATGATGATGATGATGATGATGATGATGATGATGATGATGATGATTACTTAAACCCTATATGGAAGATATGAAGTTGGGAAAGTCGGTATTAAATAAATTTGTGGTTCATTCCAGACAAAGGGTGAATTAATATTTATTTGCTACACATATGTAGGGATGTGGGTCTGTACATATGTTGTTCAAAGTATGTTTAGGTGTGCGTCATGTATGTGTTTCACTTTGAGAGCGGGCAACTAAATTTCATTTTTGATGTGTGCCGTTGTGCCCACAGTAAAAAAATGACAATAAAGGTTATCTTATCTTATCTTATCTTATCGGGGGGGGGGGGAAGTGGAGGAACAAAGAGGAACCTGGTGTCCCCAAGGTGTACCAACCTGGTATCCAACGTCATTGACAACGAAGATGATCTCGAAATGCTCGCCCTTCCGGAAGGGCATCTTATGGAGCTCTTCGTTTCCCCACCTGCCACACTGGAAGGTGTTGAGCACAGTTCTGTCCTTCCCATCAAAGCGAGGGTTGAAGTGGAAGGGGATGTCAGCCCCCTCATGCTGGCCAGAGGCAAAGTTCACCCGGAATCTGGTAGAGAGAGAGAGAGAGGAAAAAAAGAAGGAAAAAAAGGAAAATTAAAGGGAGGTGCAGGAACCTTGGAGTAGAGTTCTGCCTCCTGCTTCTCCTTCGCCGTGAAGCTAGAACCCAGTTTTTACAAACATAAAGGAAGTGCTCTTGGGTGGTCAATATTTATAATATTTTAAGAAAATATTGCCTAAGATTATGTAGGGCTATCATATTTAAATAACATTTAATGATTCCCAGATGAAATCGATGGATCTGAGAAGCTAAGCAGGCTTGGCCTGGTTAGCACAGTACCAGGACGGGAGATCTCCAGCAGACAAGAATCAAGTCCCTAGTCCTCAGGGCATAGGAACCTCCCCTAAGCATTGGAGTTGGAAGAACCAGGAAATGGAACTAGGGGTATCTGAAGAATTCAGAAAGACTTTTCGAGGTCAGAGTGAAAACTCTACCCAACACCTGGGAGTCAGATGAGCAGAAAATGTCCATGTCCGTGTCCAAATGCACCCATGCCGGTTTTGCCATAATCTTGGTATCAAATTTGGACTGTATAAAGTACCCATATATATTATATATTTTAGAGAAATATTTTGAGCAAGGTAGGCTCTTGCCCTTCCTGTGAGCCCCCAAAACACACATTAAGTATAATTTTAAATTGGAATACAGCTTCTAATATTTGGTTTTTAATTTGGTTTTATAGGGGTTTTATCTTTGTATTTTCATTTGTATCTGTTTTAATATGCTGTGCACCGCCCTGAGTCCTGCGGGAGAAGGGCGGTATATAAATTAAATTATTATTATTATTATTATTATTATTATTATTATTATTATTACCTCTTGGTATGTTTGGGCACTTTGCCCTGCACGTAGACAGACATCCCAGGATGGAGTCCCCCCGGGACAGGCTGATGGTAAGGGAGAGTCTGGAAGACAGAAAACAAATGAATGAAGCCAGTGATTTTACTGCAAAACACAACTTTGACCTTCAAACCAGCCGACTGCAACCTGTGGTTTGGATCAGCCTTTCCAGGTGGCTTCTGAGTCAAACCAAGATCTCCTGGGAGGGCCTCTGCTAAGGATTAAACACCCCCCCCCAATGTGGCAGCGGAACGAAGGTGTGGAGGAAGCACCAGAATTGCAGCCGCTGACCGGTTCTGCTTTATGGGTGATCAGTGGATTGAGCAAGGCTGGCTGGATGCCAAACTCTTATCAGATCTCTCCATGCACCGGAGGAACCTCTAGGCGCAGTGTTTCTCAACCTTGACCATTTTAAGGCATGTGGACTTCAACTCCCAGAATTCCACAGCCAGCAATGCAAATTGTCCATCTCTCCCTATCTCTGGAAAAGTCTCCATGTCTTTTTTTTTTTTTTTTTTTTTTGCAGGGACCTTGGTTCTACAGAAATAACCACAGACACACTAGAGAATTTGCTCAAAATCTCCTTAAAGCTGAAAACTCTGTAAGTACCTCTAATCTTTTTCTGTAACTTCCAAGGGCAAAATGGGAAGGAGACCATATTATCCTTCTTCCCCCTTCTCTTCCTCCCCCCCCCCCACACTTTTGAACATGGCAGTGCAGATATTGTCATTTTCCTCATGGAGAGCATTTTACTAATATTAAAACTAGTAGCTCAAGCCGCTACTAATTCCTATTTCTTGACGAGAATGTTCAATTGTCATGGATGTTGGCTGTGAACATGTTGGTTGTCCCAGAATATTTTCTGTCCACAATGCTTCCCGAAACAAGCCAGAGTTCCTTAGAACCTACCAACTAAAGTTTATTAATGAAAACATCAAAACTGGCAGGTAAAAGTCCCTTAGATATAGCTTGTATATTGCTGTCAATCTTACAAACGGTCAAGGTGGAGAAACACTGCTAGGGAAAGGAGAAACAAGTGCCAACTGGGACAAGTGCTGGTGGCACCTTTCCCTCTGCACTTCTGCAGCTTTTATTGGAGAACCGTGTTTCATCTGTGGGTGGGTGAGGTGGCTGTTGCAACCGCACAATGGGATGGGAGGAACTGTATTGAAAAGGGGGAGGAGAATTGAACACCCCCCCCGATGAGCGTAGGACGTTTGGCCAACGTATTTTGAAAAATAATGGGCATTTTCATTTCTTCCACCAGAAGAGAACCTCTACAGCTGAGGGTTGAACTGTGGAGATCTTGGTGGTCTCTGAGCTGGGGGGGGGTTGTTGCTGACACCTGCTTGTCACTTTCAGACCAGCACGATTCTGTCCCTTTAAAAGTAGTATTAACATGGTTTCCTAGTCTGGTCTACTTCGAAGGCTGAATGCTCGTCCCCCCCCCTCCCTTCCTTTACCTACAAGAGAAGGAGGGAGGGTCTTGCCTCCGACGGCTTCTCACATTACTTTTCTACCCTAATCTCAAATTTCTTTTATCCCACTGTCCCTTTATTTATCAAAATAAACACGAAAAAATACAGAAACGTTAAGAGAAAGACAAAAACGTAAAAGAAAAAAACGAACAGCAGAAACAGACCAAAAGAAAAGGATGATTAAATGAGAGATTTCCAACCTTCTTTAGCAGTTACAAACCAACTTATTAGCCCAAGAAAATAGACATAGCTCAGGGTTCAACTCAAATCCGTGGCGTTCTCCCAGCTTGAAGGAAACCAAGTTCAGAAGCCACCAAAAAGTGGCTTTGTCTCGTAAGAACATTACCTTAGATTAGAATAGCCCACATTTTTATTGTCTCGTAAGAACATTACCTTAGATTAGAATAGCCCACATTCAGGCCGTTTTTCAACCAGCAAATCCAGACATCGCTTTTGTCCATTTTCAGCAGCAAAAAAAGAGTCCATAACCAATTTCCAATCTTTTATAGAAGTACTTACTGTTTTATCCCCGATTCAAACAGATCAGTTCTGCCATCTTTCTTATCCATCCTTCCACTTTTCAGCATTTCTCCATCCGGTGTATTAATAATTTTGTCGCAAAGATAGGTTAAAACCAGGTGGGAGAGACACTTACCGGGTTATAAACAGGCATGTAGCCGGGTGCTGGAAAGAAAGCCATGTCGATCCTGTTTCAAGCCGCTAGTCCTGATCAAGGCCCGAGTGAGAAGCAAGGCAACCGTAACTATTGCTTTTATATGAAGCGAGGAAGAAAGGGTGGAGCACAGAGGCACCAGCCCACCTGCCCTGACAAATAGAGGCCACTGCTCTATTTCCTGGACAAGGTAGGAAATAGGTGACCTCTCCTATAAAGCCCCACCTTGCTCAGCCTGGTGCTTCCAACAAATCGGACTTCAAATTCAGAATTCTCACTCAGGCCAGGACAATGCGGGATAGGACGATGGGGGTTCTAATAACAGAAGTAAACTTACGCTGCACGTAAACCAAGAAGACCGGAAAGTTTAATTTAATCTGGATTTGTAAGATTTTAAAAGTTCCCCACCTCACCCAGCAAATCTTACAAGCAAAAAGATTCATTGGATGGTATCAAATTTAACTCCAAACCAGCTCTGGTTTATCAATTGTGTGGATGGCACAGATACTTAAAGGGGGGGGGGGATTTCTGCCTAGATATAAAGGTTACTGTTCTTTCACTATCCTTCTCCCACAACTGTGTTTCCTGGAGAGGGACTGCCATCAAGCAAGACATGAGGAATATGTCAGCTCTGCAAGGTAGTCCAGACAAGAAGCAAATCAGAGATTATACACGTATAGGGTAGATTAAGATTTTATTTTAACTAGGATATCTATTGTGTAGTGGAAGAAGAAATAAATGAGATTGGTGATAAAATTAGAGACGAGAGAGATTAAGAATTAGAATACATCTGGAAGGGACACCTGAATTGATAACTTGTGGATTTAAAGTTAAAATTTGATTGTGGTAATTGTAAACTGATAAAAAGTTTTTAAAACAGGTTTAGTAGTAATAGAAATTTAATTTAGAAATGGAATATTTTATACGTATTATGTTATTTGAGGGAAATGGAGAGGGGACAGTTAATGTGAGTTGAGTTGTTTATATACGCTTTTATTTTTGAATGTTTGATTACCCAAACACCACGGTGTGTCCTGAGTACTTTTTCTTAAGAATTAAAAAACCAAAATATGTTTTAAAAAAAAAGTTCTAATTTGAACGTTACTGCAAAATTACATGAAAGTAACCCCCCCCCCTCGCCTTTGCAGTCCGAGAAACTAGGGAGGGTCCATAATGAGGCATCTGCCAGACACCCCCCCCATTGCTTCTCATCCGAGCACTGCCTGGTCTGCGGCTCTTCCCCCCGTCTCCCGGGATCGTGTCCACGTATTGTTTGAGAAGAGCCACTGCCAAGTTTAACGAAGAAAAGGACGAGGGGGGACACGATAGCAGTGTTCCAGTATCTCAGGGGCTGCCCCAAAGAAGAGGGAGTCAAGCTCTTCTCCAAGGTGCCTGAAGGCAGGACGAGAAGCAACGGATGGAAACTAATCAAGGAGAGAAGCAACCTAGAACTAAGGAGAAACTTCCTGACAGTGAGAACAATTAACCAGTGGAACCACCTGCCTCCAGAAGCGGTGAATGCTCCAACACTGGAAGTTTTTAAGAAGAGACTGGACAGCCATTTGTCCGAAATGGGATAGGGTTTCCTGCCTGAGCAGGGGGCTGGACTAGATGACCTCCAAGGTACCTTCCAATTTTATTATTATGGATCATCGCACAGTCAGCCAGATGTTCAGACTGGATTTGGCATTTTGTCTACCTATCGAGTCCTTACCCAGGACCTGGGATAGGCAGATGTTTGATGGTATTACAGATATCGTCACAGGATGGAAGCGGTTCCTAGTAAGGCCGCCTTTTGCAATTGACTAATAGCGAATTTGTCAATGCCGATGGTGTTCTATTATTATTATTATTATTATTATTATTATTATTATTATTATTATTATTATTATTATTATTATTATTATTATTATTATTAGGGGCTTCAGCCCAACCCAGGTGAAGTCAGGTGAGAAGCATCTCAGACAAGCCCCCAGGTAAGTTCACAAAAGACAGAGGGGGAAGCAAATTCAAGACGTGCCAGATTCCTCTTATCCATTTTTAATATATCATTTCATGAAATATCAAAAGAGCATCGATTTCTTAGTTCGATCTATCTTGTGGGGCGGAGGGGCCGTCATCATTCTTGGGAGTCCATCCCCATTTCCCCACCAACTCTGGGGCAGCCAAGAGGCTCGGGGGACAACATTCCCCACACTTGCATTTCTCTCTTGAGCTTTACCAAGGAACCGGTCACCGGGTGGGCACTGAGAGGGAGACGTGTCCAGCAAATATTTGAGCCCTGCCCGGTTTTGGTTCGAGACCAGCAGGAAATCAGCCTCATAAAAAGCCTCTAACTGGGGCATCGGTTAGAACAACGGGTGGCTGTGCGGTCTGCAGAGGGCCGAAGGTAGGGGAGCGGCCCTCGAAGGAGTGGTCAGCAAATAATTTTACAAGTTTCGCAAAGTGGGGGCTATGCCTGACTAAGCAAGCTGACGGTTTTGTGGAGCGTGACTGGGGACGCAAGAGGGCTGGGCGGTCCGGTTTAATTGGGAGAGAGGGCAGGATGGTGCTGGGACAGAGAAGGGATGCGCGGCGTTTGCAGCTACGCCCTGCCGGTTGGACTCTGACCCGTCTCTGTGCCCAAGTGATCGAAGGAGGATGGGGGCAAGATGAAAGAGGATACCGCAAACGGTAGCAGAAGCAGAAGCCTCTGTCCACGCCCAGCTATAAAGCACTTAATTTCTCAAATGCCCCCCCAATTTTTCTTCAACTGAACAGAATCGTTAAACTCTTGCTGGCTTCCACACTGCTCCTGCAGGAAGAATTGTTTAGGCCTGGGCTCGTTCCATTTCTGAAGTTAGCCCCAAGCCCACAAACCCAGAATTTTCTTCCTGGTTGCTCACCCTGCTCTAATAATGCAGCAACAGATAAATGACGATCATTTAGAATCACTTTGGTTTGCAGAGAGGCTAGGAGGAAATACATGTAGCCTACACAGCAATAAAAAAATTAAAATAAAATAGCCTGATGAAAAAAGTCTGCCTCGGAATAAAACATGCTAGTTAGTAAAGGTACTGTTGGTCTCTTTCTGACTTCTGAGCATCAACTCAACAAAACTTCTGCTTGTAAATAAAATTTGCCGCTCGGAAAACATGCTACCAGATTCCTCCTGACTTTTTTTTTAACTGTCTGCAGTGAAACAGAAGAGAGTTTTCCATTACTTTTCCCTTTTCTGGCTGACCTTCCATCACCTTGTAAATTCACAGCCATAACCCTTAAAAGGAAAAAGAGAAGAAAAAAAGCAGCACGGGGCTTGGCTTTTTGGAATAGCAGGTGAGATATAGAATATATCTATCTATATCTATATCTATAAATAAAAATGTAAATGTTCGTTTGTTCAAAATCTTAAATCTCCGAAAGTTCTTCACCGACTGCTTTGAAATTTTGACACAACGTTGCATTCGAATACGTGCGTGTTTTTATAAACCTACTATTATATAGATGTCACACCTGTGACAGGTAAAAACATGCTTTTTTTGAAAAACAGCGCCATCTGTTGGAAAGCAACACAAACGTGCGCTTTCTCTTTTCTTTCTTTTCCATTTAACCAGACTGAGCCACAGCAACGCGTGGCCGGGTACAGCTAGTACAAAATAAAAAGCCCAAACAGGCCATAATTAAAACAGGATTTAATCTTCGTTAAAACCAACTTTTTCGCCGTCTATATTAATAGGCTCTTCTGTTGCTAACCTGCATGCTTTGGAAAACGCACCCCATTTCAAAAAAAGGGGGGGGTTCTCGCTTCGCAGCGCCCCTAAAGGATCAACAGGCGAGCCACAAAGGGCAGGCGGGCGGTGGGTGATTCAAAGGCACTTGAGGCTGCCGTCTTGCTGTAACCCAGGCACCAGGCTTGGCCCCTGCAAAGCAGGAGTGTGTGACACATACACACACACACACACACACACACGCACAGCCCTTGCTTCGGGGCAGGCACAGGCTTCCATCTACAGTTTGGAATAGACCACTTGCTTGGGGGTCTTCTTCTCCATCACAGCTTGAGCGGACTTGATGATGTCCTCGGTCTGAACGTACGAGTACAAGGTCCATCGGATCTCCTTTTAGTCTTACGTTCCTTCTCAATCTCTGTCACTAAAAGGGAAAGGACGGGGTCGTAGAAGGTCCCTCTCCCCGTGAAAGTGAGGAACCGGGACGGGACCTTTATGTCGGAGAAGGGTTGGGGGAACTAGAGGACGGTCCCCCCCACTTCTCGACGAGCGGGGGGGGGGCAAGAACTGGAGCCAGGAAGCAAACGGGGTCAAACACATCCACTGGCAAGTTAGTTATGACGTCCTCTGTGGCTGCACAATCACTAATTTTTTCCCCCTATCTTTTGGATTGGCTTATGGAAGCTTTACAAACTGGCTGTGGGCCCAGAGTTATTTGTTTACGAAAGGTGGCCGTATGCATTTTCCAAATAAAATAGGGCTTCCTGCCTGAGCAGGGGGTTGGACTGGAACAGAGTTTTTCAACCTTTCCACCCGTTGTACCACTTTTAGGATATGGCAATATCCGAGTACCACCAGTTGCCTAGCAAGGTGTCAGAAACTTGACCCATAAAAAAAGGAAAAAAGTGATGAAGTACAGGTAGTGCTCGACTTACAACAGTTCGCTTAGTGACTGTTCGAAGTTACAATGGCACTGAAAAAAGCGCCCCCCAAGCCACAGCCGAGCAAGACACCTGCCTGCCCGCCTGGCCGCGCTCTTCCTCCTGTCCGAGGTTTCCATTGTTGTGAGCATTTCTGTTGAGGATTGGCAGCAGGGGTAGGATGGGGGGGTGTTTGGTTTTGGTTCCCCCCGTCTGCTGGGTGGTTGCAGCAGGTTTTGGTCACTTCACATGACCCTGGGACACTGTGACCATCATAAATATGAATCAGTTGCCAAGCATCTGAATGTAATTCACAAGATCCTGGAGATGCTCATCGGCGCTTCTTCTGGGCTCAGCAGAAGCACCAGGATCAGCGCCGAGCTCCAGTACAGGTAGTCCTGGTGCTTCCGCTGAGCCCTGACAGCCCTGCAGCTCCACCGTCTCTCGCTCAGGCTTGTGGGGAGCTGCCACCAGTTCAGCTCATTCCCCTCCCCTCTAGGATGGTTGCGTACCACCTGCCAGGTACCCGTACCACTGGTTGAAAAGCCTTGGACTAGAAGACCTCCGAGGTCCCTTCCCGGTCTGTCATTCTGTCCTCCGTTATCTGGCACCAAGGCCGAGACCTCCCAACGTGCAAACCGCAAGCTGCACATATTCGGAGAACCCACCGCTCACCATGTATTTCAAGCCGTCGGGCACGGAATGGTCTCTGGAGTAAACGAGGTTAATTTTCGTGCCCTGCACTGCGACTGGGCTCCGGCAGGCGATTTCGGTGGCCAAATCAAAGGCGCCCTGCAGCATCGACTCGTGATCTCGGAACACGCGGCTGGAGAAAACGAAGCCAGAGGAATTGTTGAGGTTGTGGCAGCTTCTTCCGGCCTGAGAATGCAAGTCTTGGATTTGGGAGTTCAAAGGAATGACGTTCTAAGGAACTTTCAAGGCCCCAGGTAGGGGAATGGCTGCATTAGGCACCAGCCAAGCCTCTTTTTCAGCCCAAGGTGCAGGGGTAAGCAACCTTGGCTCTTTTATGACTCATGGACTTCAATTCCCAGAATTCCTGAGCCAGCTTTGCTGGCTCAGGAATTCTGGGAGTTGAAGTCCATGAGTCATAAAAGAGCCAAGGTTGCCTACCCCTGGCCCAGGGGAAGTTGGAGAAAAACCTTAACAGTCTTGCTCAATCTACTTTAGTTCAGCGTTTCTCAACCTTTGCAACTTTTAAGAGCTGTGGACATCAACTCCCAGAATTCCCCAGCCAGCAAAGCTGATGGGGTTAATACACACCCCCTGGTTGCAGTTGTTTCAGAAGAAGACAGCCTCACTCAACCTTGCCCGGTCTTGAAAGCTAAGCCTGCTTAGTTCCCGGATGGAGGGGAAAAAAAACAAAAAAAACAGCCAGGAAATCCCGTGGGACTAAATGCAAGACAATTGTGGGGAGGAGAATGCAAGGCAAACATCCATGGAAACATCTGGATTGAACTCAGTGGGAGGAGGTGAGAATCTTTTGCAACTGGGCAGGAAGACTCGGACAATATTTAGGGCAGTGGTTCTCAACCGTTTTAATGCCGCGACCCCCCAATCGGTCGTAAGTCAAGGACTAAACCGGTCGTAAGTCGAGAACTAAACCGGTCGTAAGTCGAGGACTACCCAACCGGTCGTAAGTCGAGGACTTTCCCTGCCCGGGAGCGCCGCGCATGCGTGGTTCCGCCCCCTGCGCCGGCCGAGGCGTAGCTGGCAAGCGGCAGAGACGGAGCAGGCCGACCACCAGCTGGCCCAGCCCAAGGGAGGTAAGGCACCCGCCGGAAAAGGGGGAAAAAA